CTACCTCCCGTCCGGCCGTTGTATATAAACAGCCAAATGGTGGCAGTGCAGGGTCGGGTGGCCGTTTATAAATGGTCTCCCCGCAACCTGCTTGTGCATGCTCCCTGGGAGCGTGCAGCACTGCGATCCAGAGCCCACTGTGTCCTCCGGACACCAATCGTCAGACGGGACCTCTGTGCGAGGTCCCGATCATGTGATCACTGATTGCCCAATCAGTGATCACATGCAGAGTAGTAAGCAAATTGTCGCTTCCGACATCATTGCTTACTACGTGTGAAATCTGTGAATGATCACAGAGGTCACATGGTACAAGGCTATTCACAAACAGCCTTATACCATGTTTCAAGCTGTGACCAATCACAGCTCACACAGTACTTCTCAATGGCTGCAAGAATGCAGCCAGAGAGAAGGAGAAATGATTGCTTTTACACCCATAAAGGCTGTGCAAGCAATCAGTGTAAAAAAAAAAAAAAATTCATCCCCCCCCCCCCCCCCCCCCCCCAAGTAGTACAGTGTAGTGCTAGTGTGACAGTAAAATGATAAAAATATATTAAAAAAAATTGTTTTAAAAAAAGTTTAAAAATTTTAATTTTTGGTTATAAACTAATTTTTGGGTTATTTTATTTTTTTGCTAAAAAGATAACAGAATAAATTTAGGCCAAGATTTATGATGAAATACTATTTGCAAATATTTATAAGAAACCCTTTTTATCAATGTTTGGACTTTTTCATTTACATAGCAAAAAAAAAAAAAAAATAAAAATCCCGGTGAATAAATACCACCAAAATAAAGCTTTATTGGTCTAAAAAAAAAATGCTAAAAAAATTCATATGGGTACAGTGTTGCATGACCGTGTAATTCTCATTCAAAGTGTGATATCACTGAAAGCTGAAAATTGGCCTGGACAGGAAGGGGGTAAAAGTGTCCAGACTGGAAGTGGTTAAAAGTCATAGCACCAGGATCATACTTAAATTGTATGTTGCCCCAACATTTCATCTCTTATAGGCGTCGGTGTTACCATGTACTTGTAGTAAACGTATTCGGTTCCCTTTGCATTGCTTTCTTTGCTTGAAAAACCTGGTGATCCTGCCAGTTACCCTGCTTTCCTGTTTCTAACCACGCGAGGACATGGAAGCACATCCATCCCAGCATGGTCCGTTTGTTTCTTCTAGTTGGGAACACAGCCTGCCTGTACGCCAGTGGTCAGACTGCTGCTGACACTCCCTCCTGCACAGCACTTCACTGCCGTTTCTCGGCCTCCTGCTGACCCCTCCCCCAAGTGTATTCCTGTCTTTTCATTTAACATAGGACTCTTGGTCTGCTTGATCACCATATTTCTAAGCCCCTTATGAAGCTGAGAACAGAGGTCATGTGATCACTATAAAAAAAACAAGTATTTAGAAAGACAAGGAAAGCTGGTCACATATTTGGACCACACAAACTTCCTGTTCCCATCAATATCCTAACAGTTGAATTTGCTATTAAAACGGTCTCAGGGTGGTATCTGGTCCCATCATGCTTGACACATCTTCAACCATTCTCTCCCAACACCAGTTTTAGGGGTTGCGCTGCTTCGGGAGACACCCTCCACATACGGTGGACATGCCCTATGCCAGGGCTTGAAAAAGTTGTCTGCCTGCTCACGAGGGGAAATCCTTGTGTGGCGAGCACAGATGGAACAGCTCCATCTGCACTCCAAGCCTCATTGTGAAGCAGAGTTCCGGTTTTCAACTTCCGGCTTCTTCTTCGGCACTGCCATTACACTGGCAGCACCGCTGAGGGGACAGGGGCAGGAGAGGTCCGCTCTCCACCGCAACAGGGGGACACAAGACATTATTATGTCTCTTTTATATATAATATCTAATTATATATAAAAAGACATAATAATATACCTAATTATATACAAGGACATAAAAGAAACAAAATATTATATATCTAATTATATATAAAAGACATAGTATCATAACCAATATATAATTATATACAAGGATATAAAAAGAAACATTATATAATTCTGTAAACTAAACTTACATCTTTTAAAAAAGAGACTTTAGTTACTAAAGTCTTTTTAAAGATGCAGGAGATAAAATAAAAAATACAACATGTTTACTACAGGTTTAAAGCTGTAAAACTTGATATTTTTATTGCACCCTATTGCTATTAAGCTATTGATGTTATGTTTAAATTGACATATTAAAGCTATGTTATAATTGCAGTTTTTTATATTTTGGACTCTTTATTCTTAAGAAAAATGTAATTTCATAAGCTTTAGGGGGCGTTGGTGGGGTTGGAGGCGGACCTGGGCAAGGTTGGGTGGGGCAACTGGTGGAGAGTAAAGGTTTGTGCCTGGCTAGTAGGTCTAGACTCGAAATTTTAAGCCCTGCGCTATGCACTTACAAACATTACTAACTTGCCACTTCCCAAGAGATCTGTGGTATGTCCTATTACATCTGAAACCTCCGGGCCTCACAAAACCGCAGTTCAAACAGGCCACATATGTACGAATGATGGCCCAAAAAAAAAAAAAAAAAAAAAAAAAACACACACACAAAAACCCAATAGCTAGAGCTTGGAAGCAACAATTTATACCCCTTACAGAGGTGGATCCAAATGCTCACCCCTCTAACCATAGCCAGTTACACACTGTTGTTGGGAGTGAGACCCTGGCATTCCAGCTGGGGTGCTCCTGGCATGCTTTCCCACTCTCCTCTTTTCTTCTCCTCTACTTAGGCTCTGTTGTAGGAATGGTCTTTGCACAAGCATTTTTTGCTCTTTGTATAGTGAACTCAATATATATGTATCTAAGCCATTAGCACCTGCTTCCCCAGTATAAGCGTGCAGTTCTTGATTTCTTTTATTTACATGGTTTCTCTGTTATAGCAAAATTAAATGTGCCCTTTGATATAATAATTTATTTGTATACCTGATCAATGTTACACATCGTACTTCTTAAAACTTTTCAATAAAAATTTAAAGAAGGAAAAAAAAAAAAAAAGTATTTAAAATGTCACACACTTTTACATTGAATTGGTTGTTTTACAAGGTAAAGGACCACATACACCTTTATTTAGGGTAAGAGACTGAAGCCCAAATAGCAATTATACTTCAATCATACACACGAGCTCAGCTTTCACTCATGTAACACACTGCATGGCATGTGCCACTGCAGAAGCAAGCATCTAGCAACTGAGGTTCTCTTTCTTTTGAACCAGATCTTGCTTAACTGATGCTAGTTATTACAATTTTCTTCCACTTTCCTCAATATCTATTACAGTGTCTTTATAACAGGATGTCCTTACTTGAGCAATGAAATGTAACAAAAAAAAAAAAAAAAAAAAAAGAATGAGATCAGTTTGTCAATAAGTGATGTGTTGCTACATGTCATGGAGTAAAATTTTTGCCTGAAATATACCTGCATTTTCATTCATCAGTTTTCAGAATGTACATGTTTGCAGTCCCATCTGTGTCTGAAGTATTACGGTGACAGTTAAACTTGGTTCAACTCGAGATGAAGCTATTTACATACTCCATACTACAAAAATGTATTAAGCCCATGCTCGGTCATGCTCTAGTGACAGAAAAAAAAAAAAAAAAAAAAAAAAAAAAAAAAAGGAAGGTTGACCGTGTCAACACAACTACAATAGGAATATGCAGTTTGGGTAACAAATCTGCCTTGCACGGTTTGCAGAAGCAGTATTGCCATCCTATAACAGGAAGTGGCTGGAGGCATGCAAGACGAAAAAAAAAAAAATTCCACACCTACATGTCATACATGCCTGCTCTGTGCAGTGGTTTTGCACAGAGCAGCCCTGATCCTTCTCTTCTCGGGTTCTCTGCCAGCGTTCGTGGCCCCTCCACACTACTAAGAGCTGGCTCCCAAGCCGGCTTTGTGTGGGCACTGACACACACAGTGCGACTCGGCCTCGCTAGGCTTGACAGCAGCAAGAGTCAATGGCTCCCGCTGCTGTCTGTGAGCCAACAGGAAGGAAGAGAGCCTCAGGTAAACATAAGGTGGGGCATAAGCTACATGCAGGCGTTTTTGTTTTTGTTTTTTTAACTTTAAATGCAGAAAATGAATTAAGGTAAAAACCCTTCTGCCTTTAGAACCAACCACTTTAAGAATGCAATGCAAATCTCTCAGAAGGAGAAAAAAAAAAAAAATGGACTGCCTATATTGTAATCATTGGACAGTTCAGCTTTTCAGAAATTGGATTTATATGCACTGTAAATAAACTAGCACTACAGTGGAATAAAATTAACTTCCAAAAGCCTGCATGTTAGATCATTTTCTTTACAGGGCACCTCAGGAACTGCAACACCACACCTCTATTTGGAAAATTTATCATGTAAAAGTATGTAACCAATAAAGCTTAGCATGATGTGGAGCAATTGTAGTATTCAGGAACACAGAAATCACACCAGGAAACCCAATACTGGCTACCTGGCTCTTCAGATTTGTCCAGCCATGACACAGTACGTTGTTCTTTAAGCGTTTCATTACCTTCTCTCTTTAAAACGAGCCTAACATGAGTTTGCCAACATCCCTAAGGCACCAGCTTCTATTCTTTTAAGGTTTATTTAAAAGCTTAAATCCAGCCAAATGTATATTTTAAGCAATGTACAAGATAGAGGGGATTCTTCCTTTAAAAAGGTCACCATAAAGACAGGAGTTCCAATGATTATCAGTATACTACAATGGTGATGGTGTTGATTTCAATAGTCTTGAGAGTAAAAGCAGTTTGTTGATATATTTTCTGCGATGAGGATTTGATCAAGTAAATTTACACACATTTTGAGTGATGTTACGAATTTAAGAAAAAGAGCTGTACCTCAAACAAAAAAAAAGTGAGGTCCTATGAAAATTCCCTGTAAAAAAGGACATCCCACATTTTTCCCCACATTTCCTGTAGGATCTGTCATTCTGGGAGCATTTTTATGTTTTTTTTTTTTTTTGTTTTTTTTTTATTGCCATGGTACGTGCAATGTCATCTTTGTATTTATGTCTGTGTGCTTTATTTAGCATCTGTGAACTATTAAAGGCACAGAATTCTTTATTTATAAAGAAAATGTCTCGGCATACACAGTTTGTGTGAAAGGGTGTATACATTGCTGTAGGGGGGCAGGATAAAACACAACATTGGATGTGTAGAAGCAATTTACAACTGAATAAGCCTGTCCCCCCACACAGCCCAAGACAACCTAATAAAGAATTACAACAGTAAAGATTGATAACAACAACAACTATGGAAAATGTTAGATTGGTTATAAACCTGGCCTCTCTAATCGCCTCCTTATGTGCCTGGAACATCTTGACGTTGTTCATGTTAGACTGCCAGTACTTCACATATCCACTGTGGTCAGCAGTCAGCATCCACATGTCATTGTGTGACCAGGTCATAGCTCGGACAGGGCTGTCATGAGCCTGAATATAAGAGACAGGGGAGGCAAAACCATTATTGTACAATTCAGAAACTGTATAGGATCACAAAATCTATTTGAAGGTTACTCTCCACACCAGAAATATGGAAGCTGCCATTACCAACATCCTTATACTTGTTTTTATATTTAAAGGATAAGTTGTTACATGTTCCACCAGTTTTTAGTCCAACCCCACTGCCTGCAACCTGTCAGTCTATGGCAGGCTGTGGCTGAACGTGTACCAATTGGGAAACATTTAGTGCCCTGTGCATTTGGGAACAGATACCTGAAAGGCAGGTCTTTTTTGTTCCAGTCATTCATCCTTCAAACTCAACAGGGCATGTCATTACCAGGCATGTCTGCACTTAGATGACCCTGTGTACAAGGGGCCCAATATTCCCTACCAAATTTGTTAGTATATATTATGGAAAAAACTAAATATTTTGATATGGGCATGAGTCAGATCACTGGTAAAGTTCCCAGGAGATAGGTGAAGTCAGTATGTAGTGCAGCCTGCTAAAAACAGAATGGAGTAATGAGCTGGTTATATTTTTTGTATAAGGCCAATGCAGCTAATTATTCTGTCTCTAAGGCAAGCCATAGATGAATCAATTTTGTTTCTGTGCTGGAGGAACAACGGCGGCGGTGAAAAGGATAGGAGAGGAGGGTTTGGGAGTTGGTGCGGGGAGCATTCCTGGCCTGGCAAAAACACAATGATTAGGGTTAGTGGCTATAGCAACCAGCAGTAATTGCATGCTAAAAACCCAAATCAACTTAGGTACAATCAACTTGTCCATAGATGTATTGAATCTTGACTCTTCCCTGCTGAACTGACCAAGATTAGATCCATCTATGGTCAGCTGAAACAAACAAACACACACACACACACACACTTTAAAACAATTAGGTTTAAACAGAAGCTTAATAGAGCACCTAAACAACAAGCTCAATACAAACCTGTAAAATGGTCTCAAAATTAAATGTCAGCCCATTCCATAGAGTGAACTCTCCACTTGAGGCTCCAGTAACTAAGCGGCGACCTTCAGGAGTCCACTGAAATGAAAGAACAAAAAACATAACTAAAAAACCGTATCAAACATTTATGGTTAACCGACAGCTATAATCTTACACAACTTTCTAAGGATACTTACTCTAACTACAAAGACGGGGCATTTCACTTTGTTGGTAGACGTTCTCACAAACTTTGTAGTGACAGCATTCAGTGGATTGTTAAGCATCCCAACAGGAGGAACCAACTACAAAAGTAAGCAAAAAATTTATTTTCTACAATTTTTTTGGTTTATCACATACCTCACATCACTGCTTAAGGTGGGGGATCCCATAAACTGATACTAAAGTGTTTTTAGAAAAAAAAAAAAAAAAAAAAAAAAAAAAAAAGCAAAGCCACAAGTGAACTCTGAATAAACCCAGGCTGCAATAGATAAAAGCAATAAAAGGCTGGAGCAGGCATTAGAGACTGGTGGTGTTTGGTCAAAGTTAATTGTGACATCAAATTACGATTTTGTTTTAGCCATAGTCTTGAATAAAATGCCATTCGAGTTTTAGTCATCTGAACTGTTTGTAGTCGTATTTTAGACAACTAAAATCTCCAGTATATTCCGTGATCTCCAGGAGCCAGGCAGGCAGGCAGACGGAGTCTGTGTCTCTCAACCAACACAGCTTGTCAATAGACTCAGGGGGCTGGGTCTTTAACAGGCAAGCAGATCTCTGGGGAAAGCAGATACTCAGGTGGGTAAACGTCGCTGCCTCACATTTTCGTTCCATTTTTGTTCGTTGGTGAAAATTGGAATTGATTTTTGTCATAGTTTTCACCAACCGACTTAATTAAAATTTATTTTCATTTAGTTTTCACTGAAAAATGCAGCTGAAGAAAACCGACGAAAATACTTTAATGAAACTTGCACTGTTTTTCATCACATACAGCCCTTTGTGCATGTCATTTTGTTGTTCAATATTTCAGAAAAAATGATTTTAACTTACCAAAGTGCCATTTCCTAAGAAATAGAAAAGGCATTTTATTTTTCTGAAATTAAAAAAACAGCAGCCCTCAGCATAAATAACGCAGTCCCCTTTAAGTCTTATTTCACTTAGTTTGACCCACTGTTTGAGTTTGACATACCTGGGCTAGACAATCTCATAACCAAGATTAGTACTGAAAAAAAACGGTCAAAAAAACAGGAACCAGTGGGATTACATGGAAGAAAATGGAACAATTATGCCCTCCTCAACCAGCCTAGACTGAGTGTCAATTAAACCTGAGCCAAGACATGAAACTGGTCAGCATATATAAAGGCCTTACAGCAATTAAGTAGTACTTTGTTTTCTATTTAAAAAACCAATAGGCCCTTCAAATACCATTAGCAATGCATTTTTTTAAAATATAAATACCAATAATTAAAAGATATAAAAACGGCTTCAGATAGGTTAGATACAAGAACAAAAACTTAAAAAGATAAAAAGTATATATAGGGGACACTCACATCATTATAGTATCCACCATCTGGCTGGATGGCTCTCATGTCTCTCTGATCTCTCTGCCATACTCTATTCTGAAAGAGGAAAACATTAAAACGAAGTTTAAGACATGAGGAAGATGAAATTGTAATACTGTAAAGGTCTCATACTTTATATATACACACACACCTATTTTTTAAGCTGCAGGTTCTATAGCAGGGGTGTCCAACCTGCAGCCAACACAAAATCGTAAATAAAAAACGCAGAAAAAGTTGACAATGTCTCTTTACTGGACTTTTTTTTTTTTTTTTAAAGTTTTATCTTGACAAAAAAAAAAAAAACAAACAAGGGGGGGGGGGGGGGGGGGGGGTGGGGGGGGTGGGGGGGGGTTGGTGGGGGGGGGGGGGGGGGGGGGGGGGGGGGAAAAAATATCCCACTCTTCACAATGACATCTTATTCATGTTATCAGTTTCCAGCAGCACCTATGTTTGTTTGTGAGCAACTATTTTAGAACCACTACAGTACAGGGCACTTTCGCCCTCTTCCTGCCCAGGCCAATTATCAGCTTTCAGCGCTGTTTTACTTTGAATGACAATTGCAATTGCACAGTCATGCAAACACTACCCACATGAAATTCTTTTTTTTTTTTTTTTTTTTTTTCCCCACACAAAAAGCTTTCTTTTGGTGGTATTTAAACCATTTAAAGACCACCCCATAGCAAATGTATTGCTACAGGGCAGCTACACTGTGCAAAATCAAGTACATATGCAGGGGTGTGGACATTCTACAATCTACTTGTCCAGATAAAAAAACATTTTAAACCAAAACCATATTTAAATTGGAGGTGATTTTAGGAATGTCTGGGGCTTTTAAAAACAAAAAGGGGCTTTAAAAAGGAGAGTTAAACGTGTAATAATTTTAACATTGTGCTGTATATCTCCTCTTCCCCTCTCTGTGTCTCCAGCACCTCACCCAGGAACTAGCAGGGAGGGGAGAGACCTTGCAGTATAATGTGCGCCGATTGGGTGCTTATCAAACGTCCAAAACGCTACCAGAGCAGTTTTTGGACGTTTAAAAAAAAAAAAAAAAAAAAAAATCATTTTGGGCCTGAAGATTACATAAAACCCCCAAACATGATATTTTCTGAAAGCAGACACCCTAGAGAATAGTGGTAATTCCAATTTTTAATGTTGCACGAGATTACCACAAAATTTCAGTTCATTTTAGGGCACAAAAAAAAAAATAAAAATATATAAATAAAAAAAAAATAAAAATTACAATATTTCTTTTAAACTATAAAAGACGAGGTTGCAACGAGTAAATAGATATCCAGCATGTCAAACCTTAAAATTTGCATGCGCTCGTGAAATGGCATCGAACTTCAATACCCTATATTTTCTATAGGCGACACATTTAAAGCCCCTTATAGGTCATCACTATAGTGTTATGAAGGAGGCCTTGTGCTAGAATTATTGCTCTCATCCTAGCGTGCGCGGCGATATGTAACATGTGTATTGCAAATCGATGTTTTCATCCGTAGACACCCCAGCAAGTGCTTTTACATTTCTATGTGCGTATATATGGAGGTCTCAATTTTATGTTATGTGCTTGAGTGTAACTTTCATTTTTTACAAAAAAAAAAAATTATATAAAAAAAAAAAAAAAAGACAAAAAAAAAAAAAAAAAAAAAAAAAAAAAGGTTCCCTATGTGATTTTTGGTGACAGGTTCTCTTTGAGACATCCAAGATCTAACAGACCCTGGATGTCTTCCCTGTATGTAATACAGTGCAAATCACACCACATTACATTCTTTCCCAGCCTTCATGACCAGGAATCTGTCGACAGGGACCCGGAAGTGGCATCATAATCATGAGACTGGCACTGTGTGGAAGTAATCAGCAGCATCGCTGCCACCTGATTGCTTGCACCTGACAGGTGAGCCTTGCTGCTTGCCTGCAGCAGGGCTAAAGGTAAAAAAAAAATAAAAAATTAAAAACACCTGCTCGGCGCCCGGAACTACATGTCCCGGGCGTCAAGCGATATAAATTCAACATCCCTGATAAGTGATTTTCCATTTCCGGGTAGAAAGTGTGCATGCCGCCCTTCCCGCGCTGTCAATCACTGGGTTTCGGACAGCAATTCATGGCTGGTACTCGGTGATCGCTGGATAAGTGTACAAGGGAGTGTGATCTGTTGTCTATAAACACAGATCTCTCTCCTGTCAGCAGAGACATGCGGCTTTCCACCTCCTCACTGGACGCCAGTGAGCTGGCTGCTGCGGCATCACAGTCTTAGGAGACCTGTTGTTCGGTTTGTGGGAGCCGATTACCTATTGTGGGTGAAGTGGAGTGTTTCCCCGGTGAGGCTGCCCAACGTGTTTCCCCTGTTCAGTGTGTCCAACGTGTGTGGTGGATTGAAAAATAAATTATCTTAAGTGCTACCTGATCACTCACAGATATGGGGGTCAACACACGTTGGTAAGAAGCTGGATGAGCTTGCTGATGTTGCTTTGCATCAGATCATGTCTTCTGGGTACTTATGTGGCGTTTTGGACAATCCCTGTTGACTATTTTTTATAGACTCTCTCTATTATGTTATTGTTTAAAGTGCTGCACTTTCTTCCGGTATCGATGCCGATACTAAGCATTTGCACAAGTACGAGTGCAAATGCTCTGATACCTGAAACCGATACCTTTGTGGTGCGATTTGAAACCATACAAAATGAACAGAGTCGAATCACACTGCAAAGAATCGCATGTGATTTGAATTTGAATGCAGTTCAGCTTCCCTGTGGGTGCAGTGCGATTTGCATTGCAATTTGAGCCATTTTGTATGGCTCAAAACACACCACACCCATAGAGAAACAGCATGTGATTCCGAAAGGAATTGCACTGCATTCCTATTCAAATCACATGATATTCTTGGCAGTGTGATCTGAGCCCATTCATTTTGTATGGGCTCAAATTGCACTGCAAAAGGTATCCATATTGGCAAGTACTTGAGCACAAGTATTGGTACTTTTACTCGCCGATTTAAAAAAAAAAAAAAAAAAAAAAAAAAAAAAAAAAAAAAAGATTTTCTGGAAAGAACCCTCCCGATTCACAATGGATCTTGGGATTCAATAGCTTCTCTGCATCAAACCTGTACTGTAAGGGTTACGAATCTATGTGTGGAAACATAGGTTCTCAATGTGTACGGCTAACTTAATCTGTGCCTTATTTTATTAGTTTCCTGTATCAATCACATATATGAGCAGTGAGAAGTATGGATAGGTAGCTTAGGTGTCACTAAACAAAGCTTCAGCAAGATACCCAGGAAACCAACATTCCCATAAGAGAAGGTGGCAGCATACATGATTCTTTCATGATAGGTTTAAGCAAACCTGTACTAACAGAAATTTGCAGACCTCACTGTTATCCCAATCCAATGGTTTCAATGCATCCTAGTTCAGTGACCCAGAAAAAGAATGCAAAATCGAGTGTTCCGACTTTCCTTGCTGCATATGCACTCTGAGAGAATAACTCAACCAATGACAGCCAGGGAAGTAACATTTTCAAAAGCTAACCAGCAACAGCTCTTACAAAATTAGTCCAAAAATAATACACCCCCTTTCCCTATTTTGCATACCATTTAAAAAAAAAAAAAAAAAAAAAAAAAAAGTGGCAAGGGACACAGCAGGAGGAACCAGTGAGAGCTGTGCATGACTCAGGAGAATGACCCTCGTGGATGTGCTAGTTTCCCAGACTTTGGAGGATTACTTTTACAAAATGAAGCAAGGTTCAGCAGTGTGGGCATCAGGAAAGGAGAGTATAACAACATTTTACAAGTAGCAGCTTTTTAATAATTTTTCACAACACGTTCTACCAATACAACTGGATAGAGTGTCAGGTAAACGAAGACTAGGGAGAACTGTGAGGCAGCAAATGATATATAGACCAGACACTTCATGAGCAAGCAGAAACTGGACATTTACAGAATGTGATCATAGCCCATGGCCCTCTTTAGAACTATATATCCAACCACATCTAGAGTTAAATAGGTATCAACGAAAAAAAAAAAAAAAAAAAAAAAAAAAAAAGCATAAAAAGGTTAATCATAGGCCAGTGACTGTACATTACCTCCAAATATTTGATAACAGATGGGTTGTAGTCTATAGTCTTACGATTCACAGCCTTTCGCATACGTTTGCCATCAAAGGTAAGCTGCTGCATGGCTTGCTGTTGTGCATAATCAGGACGCTTATAGAAAAGCTGACGAGGAGCCTGGTGTTGGAACCGTGGCATATGGAAGAAACGCGGGGGAGAACCAATTTCAGTTGCCATTGTGATGTTCAATGGGGAAGGGGGGTGGGAGAACCTTAAACACAAACAAATTTAACAGAATTAGAACGATACATTCAAAGACTGTATATGATGTAATAAATGATAAAAACCCAATAAAAAATAGCTATTAGAATTAATCATGTAGGGAAAATTTTTCAGAAATGAAGTATTTGAAATAAAAAGTAAAACATTTTTTTAATGTGTTTATTAAATTTAAGACAAAAAGCCTGGAAAACTGTTCCAGATATAGAAGTGCCTACAACATGTGGCACCAGAGCACGCAACAAAATGACAGTAAAATATCAGACCACATAAGCACAAATCACACTATTCAATTATACCCCACAACTCCACAATACTCCATTCTTTATGGATTACATTTTTAATAGGTATGGCAATAGAGACATGCACATCAAAACTGGGCAACATGTTTAGCCAGAGTTTGCTCATGTCAGAAGTATCTACATTATCAGTTTGTGGTTTGAAAAACAATGGTACAGGCCATCACTTTACTATTCGCAGCAGGGATAAATGAGACAATCTGACACAATGTTTAGAACACGGTTGTTGAATATGAGGACCACTCCTGAAAATATGGTACAGATTGCCAGGAGAGTCTAAGCACCTACAATCTGTGGAATTAAGCTTCCTGCTCCATTGTAATGGTGCAAGAAACTGTCGGACATAACTGACATGCACCACATTAACAGAGCAGACAGACATCTTTCAGGTCTATCTGTGCCACCTGCACCAGGGCTTGCACCTGTTCAACAGAAGGAATATGGTAGATTGTTTGTCTGTGGCCTAATGCAGAGTGAATCTTTGTAGGAGTGGTTATAGAATTATCAAATCAGCTGCTGCACCTGCAGGGACCTAACAAGGAAAGCTGCAGGGCCTGCATCACTTAAGACGTGATTTCCCCTTGAGTGTATCTCACCAAAAATGAGATTTATGTTGCAGTGGATGCTCAAAATCGGATTTGAATCTTAGTACAGACTTCTGGGAAAATCAGGTAGCAAAATCACACAAGCAGGAAATAACATTTCTGGGGGGTGTCCTGTACACAAATGGTATACAGAACACGTCCAGGTAGCCATATTGCATGGCATTTTACAGAAAATTACAGTGCTGAAGCTTGAAAAGAAGAGGTAATTTTTAATAACATTTAAGTACAATATGACTTGTGTCGCAATGGTATATACTATATAATTTTTTTTTTTTGCTGATTTTTTTTCCCCATAAAAGTGGCGTTACCCTTTGAAAGGGTTGATTTACTAAAACTGGAGAGTGCAAAATCTGGTGCAGCAGTGCATGGTAGGCAATCAGCTTGTTCAGTTAAAAAGTTACTAAACCCAGGACCCCGATTTCACTATATCTGGCTTTGCACGGTACACATGGAAATTCAATTTAGTAAATATAAACTGCTAAATACCTTTTCAGCAGTATATAGCAGTCTTGTGACTTCTAGCGTTCAGCTGAGCACTGTTTAATCTGGTAGTAGATTTTATTCTCCTCTGACTGTCCAATGAGGCTGCATGACCCTGGACCCTCTGTCCAGACAGCACAGATTGGTCCTGTGCTGATCGCATACACCCGCACATCCACCATCCTCCCTCTAGCAATACACGGACAGAGCATGTGCAGAGTGCCACTGCTGCCCTGTACTATTGCAGGATTGGGGACCGTAAAGGGGAGGATCAGAGAAGGCAGGATTAAACTGCTTTTACACAATACAAAGGATTAATCCCTTAGGTTGCACAGTGAGTATTAACAAGCATGCTTTACTGCAGATACAGACTGATGTTACTGTTGAGGGTTCAGTAAGGGTCCTTTCACACAGCATGGATCTGTTTAACGGATCCACTTGCTCAGCGGATGACAGGTATGTGTCCCCTGCACTGCTGTAGCGCAGGCACAGAACAGCTCGCTGTCCTCAATGGGCGATTGGATGGAAATAGACCGTCTATCAGATTTGATGTTGGCAGATGTAAACGACACAATTTTTGGTTATAAACTAATTTGGGTTTTTTTTTTTTTTTTTTAATTAAAAAGATAGCTGTATACATTTTGGCCAAGATTTATGAAGAAAGATTTATTTGCAAAATTTTATAAGAAAAACACTTTTTCAAAATGTTTGGACTTTCATTTATAAAAGAAAAAAAATAAAAATCCCAGTGGTGAATAAATACCCCAAAATAAAGTTTTATCTGACTGAAAAAAAATTCACATCGATACAGTGTTGCATGACCGCGCAATTGTCATTCAAAGTGTGGCCTGGACAGGAAGGGGGAGAACGTGTCTGGACTTGAAGTGGTTAAGGGGAGGGTTTAACTCTCACATTAAAGGAGTCATGCACATTGGCACAAAAGAAGCTGTGTTCAGAGCTGTAATGCTATTTTTATTTTTTTAAATGATAGATCTGAACACAGTTGTAAATATTGCTATGGGTCCATGCACACAAGGTCCACAGTTCTGCAAATAGATATTTAATGCTATAAGCATTCTGCCAATGTTTCAATGCATAAAACATTAGGCCTAAATGTACAATAGTGCCTCTGAATAGGAAGGACAGGAGCCGTCTGCATCCTAGCAGCCAAGGAGTGACTTCAGCTTGTCATTTAACATTGGCACAGAAGTCTATGATGCTGCAGCAAGAATGCGCAACTACAAGGTGAGCACAAGTACTCATGGGACACAATCATGTCAGAAATAGAAAGCACTTTTTACTGGAGATTTTAAGATAGGTACATTAGAATAGTTATAAGCAGAACACATGAAAAATAATGCATGGAGTACATACGACTTTCACCTACAATGCTAGTACTAAAACAAACAACAGAACTGGAGACAACAGCTCAAGAAGGACCTTACAACCTGATGCAGAAAGGCCCAAGAAGCACACAGACCTAGTGTAGTGTATAGGGCGACTTGACAGAAGGGGTGGAACTCAGAAGGAATGGACATTCTCAGAGGGCTAAAAGAAACAAAGGAGCGGGATCACCCAGTGACCCCGCCCCTTAGTTTCCTTTAGCTCCAGGGAAAGTGACAGCTCATTCTCGGAGTTATAGTGAAGAAAAAAAAAAAAAAAAGCCGGTAATTACATTTAAAAACTGGCACCGATATATAGTGACAGCCAGTCACTGCATACACTGCCCCTCTCCTGCCTTTCTCTACCACGCCCCCCCATCACATCTGCAGTACACTTAGTCCCCTGTATCAGCACCAGTACTCACTAAATTTTTCAGCCAATAAGTTTCCGTGGCCAAAGTTTCGGTACATCCCAAGTAAAAACAATGCAGACATTGTTGCTTGCATACAAATAGCTGTAATAAGTGAATGTACTGGTCAAGGGGAAAAGGGTGTAAAAAAAAAAAAAAAAAAAAAAAAAATCATCTTAGGAAAGAAAGAGGCTCTAGGCTTCAACCCCACTTTATCCTTGCACAAGACCACATAGCATTCTATGCAGGACAAAAATGCCAGCTCAAACACCTCACAGAGGTGGTGGCAAGAGGGAAAACAACTTTGTGGGTAAGAGTAGAAAGAGTAATATTCCTGATGGTTTCAAAAGGGCAATCCTTGAAGAGCCAAGCGTACCATAATCAAATCCCAGAGTCACAGATGACTGCACAAAAGGAGACACTTTACATGAAAGTCTTGATCAACAAATGGGAAGTAAAGGATCTTTGGAATAAGATATCAAAGGCCGAGATTTTCCCTTGATGGTACTTGGGTTCAAAGTCTAATGCTGGCCTGATTGCAGAAATAGAATTCTTACAGCAGTTTTTCCTGGAGTGAAATCATCTTTCCTCGCGTCAGGGAAAGTAATCCTTCAAAGTACGATGGAAAAGTTTTCGGGAGGTAGACTTCTAGCTTTTACCGCTGTGGGAATTACTATCTTTTAGGACATCAACAGCCATTGTCATTAATACCAGCAATCATGAACAGGCTGTTAAATCAATATTTGGGATACAATATATTTGGCACAAAGCCCATAGGGTGTCTGCTAGAAGTCTAATAAGGTCGGAGTACCACATCAACCTAGGTCCATTCGGCGCTAGGATTACCGGAATGCTCTACATCTTCATCATGCAGAGAAGACAAATGAGGAGCTTCATAGGAGGAAAGGCATAGATCTGGGGGTGTGGTGTGTGTGTCTGAGTGTAATGCAGACAGGTGTGGGAGATCCATGGGTATACAGGAGGTGGTTGTATGTGTATAGTAGGGGGGAGGCTTAACAAGGCCCCATGATTTCTAATTGTGCCCCTGCTTAGCCTGCCCAGACAACACAAACCAAGTGACCAGGTGAAAAATGTACAGATGTTCTGCAATGTGTAGAGAGCAATTGAAAGAAAGACTATAGATATTGATTTGGTACGTGTGGGGCAGAGGGGTGGCAGACAAAACAGTGCTGGACACCCAGGGGTTATTGCCCAGGCTCAGGAGAGGTCTGGTCAGGGTCACAAAAAAGGGAGCGCCGAGGAATGGAGATAAAGACCTCCCCAGTGAAAGGATCCTGCAAAAATTCAAAGATTACAAAGTAAGGTGGCCGATAAAGCAGTCTACAGGAAAGCGTCCTGATCTTCTACATATAGGAAGGGTAACTGGTGTGATCACAAAATGATATCCGTGTGATTCCAAGTCAGAGAATACGCCCCAGCTCTATGTATAGTGTGCATTCTGCATCGTCTATACCAGAGCAGCTCCAGGAAGTCTTGGGACACTTCCGGCTAATTGCAGATATTGTGTCCGATATCTGCAAGTCCACAACGATCACTCTAAATCAGATAGGATGTCTTTCGCAAAGGCCAACATATAGTGTGGGGGGGGGGGGGGGCAGGAGAGGGCAGCCCCTCCACCACAGTTTCCATGTGGGGAGGCAGGTACCATTTGGAAAGCTCTACCTTCCTCACCCCATGTGCACGCTGCTATTTGTTTTGCCTCTGGCTGGCTCAGCACTATTTACAGTCAGGGCAAGGAGACTGACACGGGCAAAGAACATA